CCCCTTCTCTCTCTCTCTCTCTCTCTCTCTCGTACGAGGATCTCGACGCGCGTGTACAATCTCGATCGATTCCCGCGTGACTCCGAGCTGGACGTGTTGTCAATCGGTGTCGTCCGTGTGAGTCCCGTGTTACTGCGAGAGGCCGGCCCGCGACCTGAGTCCACCAACCAACCAATCAATCAATCAACCAACCAACCAACCAATCAATCAACCAACCAACCCCATCACTGTGACGACCTACAACAAACCAGGATACGAATTTGAATGCAGGGAGAATCGGCGGCGGGGCGAATGCCGGGCATCGTTGAGGTCACCACACCGGCTACGCCTGGCAGTTCGCTTAAGACGCCTAGCACGCCGCGAATTGACATCAGCCGGGCGAGCAGTTCCTCGCACCATGAGGATAGTAATTCCAGAGATTCGTCGCCCGAGCGGGAGCTCCTCGCAGGTGATCACATATTACCGTCCTTCCCCTGTCTTTCCCTTCGCGAAGCTGGTCGAACGGGAATCCAAATTATGGATTCGAAATTGAGTAAACCAATGAATACGTCAACGCGGCGTAATACCTGTCGAATTGAGGGACGGTGATAGGTACATCGACATATCAGATCGATCGAAAGGTAACATCGAGCGTCTCTGACGCTAGTTCTCATGGCAATGAATCTCCTCCTTTAAAATTAACCAAGTTTCTTGCGTATAGACGATATACCTTCTTGTCGCACTTTAGTATACAAAGTAGATGTGGTGCGAATACATGTCATCTGTGAGACACGCGCAATTAGCTAATTGCGATAGCGAGAATGAGAGATCGTAGTAGGAGCGACGGACGTTATTAATTTCGCCCATGACCGTATTCTCGTCACAGTTTTCTTTGTCACAATTTTATCGTTATAAACACGGGGCAATATTAATTGAACATGACATTAAATACACGTAGTAGCTAAATAATCGGTAGGAGACAAATAACTTCCGGACAAATAACTTCCTCGGGTCAAGGTCCCGATCGATTCAGACGGCTCCAAATGCTGCGAGCGCACACCTTGATTATATTCTGCGGGTTTTGCACGCAAATTAAGAATTCTTTTCGCTCTTCCGCTTCTTCTGCTTAAATCGACTCGCTGAGGAATCGTTAAATCTGTTATGGATAGATTGAACGTGCACGCACCTAATATAGGAAACGGCTGTCCTTAACGGTAGAGATATTAGATCCGTTCGACGGCAATTCGATTCATCTTCTTTACAGAGACACGCTCGATTGCGCGACACAAAACTCGTCGTTAGAGATTAGACGGCGCAAGTAATGTGCAAAAAGTCGGTTGAAACACATTTTCACGACAGTGGTGATGAAAGAGTAAAGGATCCTGTGGATTGTAGGTGCGGATCCTCCGCCCGGCTGTAAGCTCACCCTGGGTTATAAAGAGGACGCTCAAGATCTCAGGTCCTCTACGGAAGAGTTGGACCTACAAGATCCCGTCCACGAGCAGGATCTCAGACGAGAGTCCAAGAAATTGGCGCGCAAGCGCAAGGACGACGGGTCCCAGTCGGATTGCAAGCAGCAGGACCGCGAGCGTAAGGATAGCAACTGCTCGGAGATATGCCTGCTCAACATCAGCGGCAGAACGTCCAGGTTGTCGTCGGTCGGCAGTCAAGGCTCCGGTGTTTCCGGAAAGCTCTCAGTCGTGTCGGCGACTTCCTCCAGGTATAAACGCGGAATGTTAGAAAAAGGAAATATATAGTTGTCAGCACGTTGTAGCAAGTTCTCCGAGAGATTCCGAGTCGAATTGCCGAGTCTTTGCCGGAGGTTTCAGCTGCTACGTCATCTTCGATTGCTTTGCGATTAAACGTCGAATTAAGACTCATGTTGCACCGATAGAATGATTGAGAAATAAAGCTGTTGTTTATATTGACACTATTGAAGTTTGATTCCCCGACGATTCCCCGTTGAATCCTCGGTACTAAACGAACGAGGATAAATATAAAAAGAAACGTGTGCGGAAAGAAAGGTGAGAATTTCCGCTTGAAAGAGTTATTCGCGCAGTAACTTGCATGCGTTTCTTCTCTCGGGCAAGTAAATCGACTCGGGCTTTTGGCTGGAAATCGAGCTTAGAGCGCATTGTTTTCTCAAGAGCGGAAAAGTCACGCACGATCGTTTGTTTGTTCCTTCAGATCGCCCAGTCCGCACAAGTGTTTGTTGGAGACGTCGTTCTGCGGTAGCAAGCCGACGCTGGCCGACAACCTGATAGAGCCGTCGAAGCCGGAGACCGATGATCTCGAGAAGATACTTTTGAAGCGAGAGGCCGACACGACGAAAGCTCTGATTCCCGAGAGCATCAAGGTGTCGATGGTGGGCGGCAACCTGAAGCCGGATCCGCTTGACAAACCCAGAAGACGCGGTCGCGAGGAGAGAAAGGAGATCTTCAAGCGAGAGGTGGAGATTACAAAGAGATTCCTGGAGAAGGTCAATATAGAGGTTGGTCTTTGCCCTCCTTCTCCATAGTTAATTAGAAATAACATTTTCTGCGAGATGTGCCGAATGAAAAAAATATTTGCGTCTCCATGTCGGAACAGGTGCCTGTCATCAAGAAACCTAGCGAGGGACTACCGTCGGCACTGCACTCAACGAAGGCTCAAGAAGTTCAAAAGCCCGCGACACTCGATTTCAACGACAAGAGGAAGAAAGCTCAGAACTTTAAGGAGATTGTACAGACGACGCCTACGACGAGCAGCGTGACTGGGAGCCCCAAGTTGCCGAGACATCAAAAGGTACGGGACCTCGAAGGCTCGCGAACACCCAGTCCGTCGTCCGTATCCAGAAAAAGCAGCTTCGCTTCATTGTTCAAGGTAACGACATATCACTTCGCGTCGCTCCGAATTATTTAACCTCTGATTAAACCCAGGCGAGAACCGACGGCAGCGTGTTGAGCCCGGAATCGCCATCGCCCAGCACAAAGCCACGGCGGAGTCTGACGTCAAAGTTGAGGGATACCACGGAAAGTCTGAGAAGTCGGTCGAAATCGCGCGAGAGAGTGTCCGCCGACAAGAATTCGAGTCTGAAGAAGGATTCCAAAAACAAGGGTGTCTTCTCGTCCACTCTGAGCCTGTTTAAGAAACGCGAGAGAAAAAAGAGCTACGACGAGGCGATCGCGGCTTCGTGCGATCCCGACGCTCTCGGCAGCGGCGAGCAGCACCCGTCCCTGGAGAGCATCGGCCACGTGGAGTTTACGTTCGATACCGAAAAGGAGCGTCGGCAGGACGACTCGATATTTATCAGTCTGCACGCGGACGACAGGAATTACGAGGAAGCTTTGCCGTCGGAGAGCGTGTCGATACCGTTGGAGACGCCGACCAAGTTGCTGGACGAGTACGAATCCGAGCCGCGTACAGGAAACATAATCACGGAAGTATCGATTGAGCATTACCCGACACCGATCGCGAAAATCAAGACGGAGGCGCAGATCGAGAGTTCTTGCAGCCAGTTTCCGCAGAGCGCGTCTAAGGATTCGTCGAAGATCAGCGTTCAGGCTAACAAAGTGGTCGAGCCGGCCGCCAAGTTGTCGATTCAGGCGAAGTCGTCGAGCCCTGCGGAGGTTAAGTCCGTGGAATCGTCCAGCGGCAAGGATTCCAAGAGACCGGACATAGCGAAGCCGAAGAGAAAGAGCAGTCAGCAAGTCGAGCCGTCCGAGAAGGACGATGCGACGCAACAGAAGAAGGCAAGCTCGAGAGAAGCAGCCAGATTAGTCGCGGAAGGCAAGAGGCCCGATCTGCTCGACGACAAGATGAGCAAGCAGGACGGTCTTGTAAAGACTCCCAGCATGATATCCGATCTGGACCATAACAGCTCGGAATCGGAGAGAGATTCGGAGATTGAGTTTATCCGAAACAAGGTTGAGAAGATGGCGGAGGAGCTGCCGGACGAGAGGAAGGGTCTCTTCTACGAGGAGAGTTTCGAGGAGGATCTTCCGTACGTGCCGACGACCTTACCGTTGGAGAAGAGCGTTGCCGTACCAATCCTGCCTGTAAAACAACGACTACAGGAAGTAAGGTAATTCCTTGAAAGGCTTTTCCTTAACAACTCGTTGTTATGATTGATTTAAAGAACACGCAAAGAGTTAATCCCTAATTGTAATCGCAGGACGATACCGATCGAGAGACCGCGCTCGACGACGCCGATAAACCCTACTCTGCTGGACGAGTTCGTGATGCAGACGTCGCTGGACGAGCGGCGAGTGGAGAGAATGAAGATCTCTTTACCGCGGGAGGACAGCTTCAAGCTCAAGAGCCCGCGCCGACACGCGGCGAACACGTTCACGGAGTTTGCGGGCAAGGTGCCGCCGGACGGGGGTCGCAAGGCCCTTCAACAAGGCAAATCACCCAGTCCACCTCCACTGCCACCGAGAGCATCCGCGGCGCGACCGAGCAATTGGATCAACTTCGAGGAGATACCGGAGAAGCGAAAAGCGCCGAAGAGGATACAGACGATACCGCGGCCGGAGGACGAGGTCGCAAAGGGCGCCGGCAGCTACAGTTACGTGCAACCGGAGGAGTGCAAGTGCGAGTGCCACGAGGAGTCCAGGCGGGCATCCATGCGGGAGGCCATCGCGGCCAGCACCAGCACTAGGACGTCCTCGTGCAGCAGCAACGGTGAGCGGCCGTGCAACGGCGAGAACTGCACGGCGCCGACCGGCAGCTCCGTCGACCGCGCCAGTATCGTCAGGTAAACGCGGTGCCGATTGTCGCGCGCGCCAACCACGTGTGCCGCCGGGGGCGATTCGCGAAGGCGCTAGTAGAAATCTGTTTCTGTACTTTCAGTGACAGCTCGCTCGAGTGCAGCCTGAGCATCGACGACGGTCAGAGCACGCAGGCGCTCCTCGGCAACTCGACGAAACCTTTCGCCATGGATCTCGACGTGCGGTCCAACAGGTCGAGCATCGTATCGCAGGAGGAGAACGACGAGCACCAATAATAGTTGCGCGCACCCAGCCGTTAGATTTCTCTCTGTCGAGTTCCTCCCTCTGCGCGAATGTGCCGACGGACGCGCGTTATAGAATCGGTTTTACGCTTGTCGCACACGTCGATCAAACTTTTAGCTGTCGAAGAGACTCTCACCTTCCAGATTTCTCTCTCTCTCTCTCTCTTTTTCACTTCGAAATGTCTCGCGATCATTTACTCACCGTCATCATCGGAGAATAATCCGTTTTTTTTTGTTGTTTTATCAGCCATCTCGACATATGCTTCCTCATGACCAAAAAAGATCCGGATATGATGGCTCGCTGATGTCTTCGTCACTCTCCCTCAAACTAGCTTTCTCCGTCGACAAAAAGTGAGCAAGTGAATGTATGTGCGTGGGTGAGTGTGCGCGCGTGCGTACGTGTCGACGAGATACTTCAAACCACTGATCTCTGTCGTTTTGAACGAAATACAAAGAAACGGAAAAGTAGAGCAAATTATTTTGTCAAATGTTGTATGCCTCGTGACGTTCGACGAGCGAGCTTTTTCGAAGCTTCATATCATGTAGATAAGCGTAGACTCATAGATATATATATATATATTTCTTCGTGAGCACGTAGATCTTGTACGCGTTAAGAAATTTATTCAATGTTGAGCCGGACGATCGGTCGTCACGATCGGCTAGTGCGATGATTTATTGATCGATTGTTCTTGTACGATATTGTATTAATATAAACGCGCGATAATGTACGACAAAGTATCCGAGGGTCAACCGACTGGTCCCGCCGATATTGTACACATTCCTTGGACCAGACGCATTAGTTTGCCGGCAAACACCGCGTGTAAACTATCCGCGCGCGCGATAGGCTTTAATCAGCTAGATTCGTTAGAATAATAAGGAGTTATGCGTTCGCTATATAAAGTTCTCTCCAAGTCATTATAGTCAGGATCGGTCGGGGTAATCGTAACATTTGTGTACGACACACAATGTTGTCGCACGATATTTTCCTATCATGCGACTAATTCATATGATAATCATAATTACTCGACATAATGTATTACGACGCAAAGAATCCTGTGTGAGAGAGAGAGAGAGAGAGAGAGAGAAACTGAAGATTAAACCATCCTTGATGCGTTTATATAATTATGATTGCGCGATCGATATTTAAAAATAATATATATGCATGTACATACATATAATTACGTATTTGGTTTATAATAATGTTTATAGGTTTAAATAGAGCCAGTTTTACTCTTGGATTTTTTCAGCTCTGATCACGATAGCTCCGATCGGAGCCCCACGTGCGATCGGTCGAATTGATTTACCTTCGCGCACGAATCTCTCCGACTGTAGAACGCCCTCTTGTCTTCACTTCTCCGGCGGGCCATCATTCTCGTGAATTCACTGATTCTTTTTCTCTCTCTCTCTCTCTCTCTCTTTTGGAAGCAATCGAGCGATTTTCCATCGTTTATTCCCGCCGTCGAATTTCAGGGAGCCGTCAAGATGCAAATGATACGGCACGCGTAGATCGAGCTCTCGTGTGTACGAGATTGAGAGAATTCTATATTATCTACCTCCTAAAACGTACCAAAAATAATCGAGTGTCTCGGAGGGGTTTCTCGCTTAGAAAATTGCGCAATAACGGCGGTTTGACCCATTTCTCCTCGCGATCGATCAAATAACGCCGCGAGGTTATTCTAAAGTTTATGCGTATTGACGTTTATTCAGATCACTGAATTCTTATTTACGAAGGATCATCTCGACGATACGGGCAAATTTAAAGAAAAATATAATTTGCTTTTTTCTGTGTGGACTCATCGAATGCGCACATATTATCCAATAACTGTCTAAGTCAAGTTAATTAATGACGAATTAATCGGGACTCACCGATAGAAATCGTTTGCACCAATCGTCACGCTTAATGACCGGTTGGATCGTCTAATTGAGAAACGCGAATTTTACTCAGCGCTCGAAGTCTACGAACCGTGTTGAGAATGAATTTTGAAAAGGGTCAAGCCATTTGTGAGTAAAATTGCAGTTTTGTCCGCGTGATCGGAATGTTTCTTCTTTTTCCTAACCACCGGCTTTGTACGCGAAACAATCGATTATTTTGATACTTGGTCGTTTCTGCTCAAACATTGCGTTCTCTTTCCCTCTCACGATATGACGATTCTTCTAGCCGTGTTTTCTATGCTGCAATATGAAAAAAAGAAACTGTATTGTGTTCACAAAATATTATAAGATGAAAATAGTGATTTGTAGTGACACAAAGTTACTTTGTCACTTCTCCGTTGCGTTGAGCGATCAGAGGAAACGCACAGTTGGTACGTAGTAATTATCATTAATCAACTGGATAATCCATTCCTGAAGGTTACGATCGATTTTATTCTACGTATGAAAGAGGGCTCGTTTCCCTCCTATCTTTATTTCAGACGTATTTCCGGCTGATCCAACTTTGATTGACCAAAGCATTTTGCTTAACGTGATCGTCAGAGAACCTCATCATTTTATGATCGAGAAGAATTCTTGCAAAATTTGAAATACACAAAATCATTTCATCGTCGATCTCGCCGGTCGTGATACCCGCTCTACGTGACAGGGAAGTCCCCTCGGTTAATCGCGTGTTGGAATTGAGTCTGTTGAATGAATTGTGCCCTTATTCTGCTTCCACTCTTATATCCCGCCCGGACATTAAGTAGTTAAGTAATTAATTGATTAATAGACCAGTAAGTGAAATAACTATCCGCGAATCAATCGAACGTGCTCATCTCTTTTCCCTTCTTCTACTTTCGACGAGAAGAGAGACGTGCCAGTTTTTCATATAGTGAACGATCTCGCGATTTAATACATCAGTGCAATTTGCCTGTAGCTAAACGTGCAAGATAATTTCCTTTCTTTTAGATTTTGATGTTTAGCTAAACGAATTTTCCGAGTACATTATATATGTGTGTATGTGTGTGTGTGTGCGTGCATGTGCGTGGGTGTGTGGGTGTGTACATATATATACACACATGATGAAAACATATACCTATACATATAATTGAAACGGGGATCGGAATCAATACAATTGTCATAAATCCAATTTTCGGTACAGGAAATTGTGTCAACTGGATGAAATCATGTCGATCCCTGCGGCGTCCAGCGCAGCGATCAATCGGCTGCGTGTATTACAAAACGAATAAAATTCGCGATCGAGAGCGAATCACGAGAGGCCGACGTATTTTCGCGCGTGCAAATCGTCGCACTCTAGTGAACAATTCGTTTATCTTTCACATAATTTGCGCCAAGTGTCGACTAGGTCACATCGCTAAAATTTACTTTTTTACAAGAGGCGCCGACTAGCACACGCGTAGAAATTCGCTCGACTTTCGCGCCGCTCGCCTTCGAAAGAAACTTTTTTCGCTTAGGAGACAATTCTTGGGAGATTCAGGGCCGTTCGTAAGACTCCCATCAAAATATAATCTTGCCGATGACCTGTCGTGAAAAGAAACAAAAAGAGAACGAAGGAGCAAAGAAATGGAGAAAAAGGATCTCTCGCGAGAATAGGACAATTCGATCCTTTCTTCTTAGTTTCTAACCGAAACTAATCGAGAAGGAGAGCCGTGGCTATCTTTGAACAATTTCAAGACTTACAATATTAGACCCGTGATACTTTTTCTAATCTTTTCTAGGCGAGCGCGAGAGACCGGAATAACGGCGGGTGGCCTGCTTTCTCGCCAAATTTCCTTACGATTCGGTCAAGTTGCGATCGAATCATTCGTAACTTACGATATCCTATTGTTTGGATATCCCTTGCGAGTTGCGAATAGTTACGAATGATTCAAGTCCCAGATCACGGTCAAATATTGTTTCCACTAAATCAAATGCTTTCACATACTGTCGGTCGAGTCAAGCTATAGTCGTAGGACCGCGACGATGCTCCTGTTGTCAAATGAGAATATAAAAATGAGCAGACAGTCAATAGAAGCTCGAAATTCATCTTTCTCATCTGAGATAGACTTATTGAATATGTTTGCGCGGATGAAGAATTTGTACAACTTCTCTTACTGAAAATATTGTGATACTTGATACAAATTAAAGATATAGCGAGTGAAATAGCAGAGAAAAACTTCAATATATATAAATCGTGTATTCTTTGTATCATAACACATTCCATAATATTACGTAACATAACAAAACATTATATAAGAGCATTTCAAGATAAGGTACTGTCATGGATGGTACTGCAAGACTGTCAGATCGAAAAGTGGGATTTGAACTTGATCTGACCGTGTTTTAACTGTAGTGAGAATTGGCTGGATTTAATTTCGCGCGAGTTTATGTTTGCACGAACAAAGTCGCAAAGTAATCTGCAATTTATCGCGAGTGCTTACATCAGAACTCGAAAGTACCGAGTTCAGCCGCGGTTATGATGCAGATCATCCGCCATTGCTTCGGTACATGCGTTTAAACTGCCGGATACGTTCGGGGAAATCTGTTTGACAAGGAATTCCGAGCTTCCTCGGACGTGTCGGAGAGAACGCCTCATTCCCTTAGCAATACATGGTCGTTCGTAATTATTTTTCATGCAACATGAGACAATGGCAAAATGAAGCAAAAATTTAAATGTTTCTAATGTTATGTAAATAAGATTATAGAGACGGGAGTACATTTTCGAGTGCTAAATAAATACCGCGTTTAAATGACCGCGACGACGACGTTGACGATGAATACGTTTTATGACCTCATGTTCAAAGGAAGAAAGGAAAATAAAGTAAAATAAACTGTTTATGTGTGTTCTGGATTGTCTAAGTTATTTCAAATTTTAATGCCGATCATTTGACAGCGTATATTAATTATATGAATAACATGTAATATTACCGTTCAAATATTGTTTCAAGTAGAAAAGTGAAATTGAAAAGAAAACAAGCCGTTGTAATGCTGTCAAGTGATTAATTATCGCATGTGATCCTTTGTAGTTGTTCTCGAGCCATACGTGCTTGTCACACGTGAGAACTCATCCTTCGTCTTGACGTCTTTGCTCTCCCCATTGTCCAAAATTATTGGTAACTCGGTATCTCGCAGCAGTATCGCGGTAGTCGTCGGGGTAGTCGTCGAATTGTTGTCTTGCAGAGATTGCTAAAGTAACGCCAAAAGGGTAATAAATGTGCGAACAATGAATGTGTTACAAACAACTTGGAAGAAGGTGGACAAGATTTTTAATTGAATATAAAATGGAAGCATCAACCATTTAAACATTGATAATGTACTTATAATTACCTGCATGACGTTTATAAGAAACAAGAAGGCGAGCAATGTCAATGCGCTCAGCGCTGCGCCATTTCCACCCTTCCCCTTGGAGGAACTCCTAAAATTCAACAAGACAAATAACTTACGAAAACAAGAAACTTGCTTCGCGAGATTCCGATAGCAATGTGAATCGTGTACCCCCGCCATCCATGATGATGATAGCCACCTCCATCATTGTGATATCGTTCGATAGGTGTGTAAGAAGGTTTCCCAAAATTTGCAAGATTAATCAGAGATTTGAACGTCATTTGCGTGATGTCCGAGAAGCAATGTTCCTTGCGAATAAAGAGTTAAAAGTGACGAAATATATATGTAAAAAGAAAAGTACATGTTTTTTGTACACATAAAATTTAATAGTACGATTAATTGTATTATTACTATCGTGTTAAAGTAAATTGTACACGTTATAAAGATGGAAGAAGAGATAATAACACGGAATGTAAATAAATTTTAAATCGTTTACCTGCTCGTCTTGGATGTACAAATATATACGAGGGGACGGATGTAATCGTCCAGTTGCGCAACACTGAGTGAGTAAATTTCAAGAACTCTTCGTCCGACGAGGCTCGGTACGAAACTGTTTCACCACAAGAAAGAGTCATCTTCTCGAATGACTGTTCTGTCACGGTGTCCGGAGTCTTCACGCTCGTTAACGACGTAACCCGGAGCTTCGTCTTCCCGGACATCGCTCCAAATATCGTCGGCAAATACATGCGCAACATCTCCCGTTATCGCCGTATCCTTTCTTATATATATATATATATATATATATATATATATATGAAAATATAGCGTTAGCAAAAGAATACTATTCAATATTGAATTCATAGCATTTTTATTTTGACGAGAATTTAAATAGTCTTCAAAAACTTGTAGCTACTCTCGTGTCTTAAATGGAAGCTCAAGCATCAAATTATCAGGAATAGACGATACGCTATATTGAGTATTACGTTTCCACAATATATCCTGAACTTCTTTAATTTGTTCTCTTATTTGTTTTATTTCAGCAAAAATTTTTTCTGAAACACATAATATAAATAAGCAAAAAGAAAAAATAAAAAAAAAAATATATATATATATATATATAGAGAGAGAGAGAGAGAGAGAGAGAGAGAGAGGGAGAATTTAGAGTAAATTTTCTTTAATAAATAAATATGGTATATCCCTGATGTACACGCCAATTCTTTAACTAACGGAAAACACTTCGCGGAATATAAACGCGCTCACAGAATGTCATTTATTCTGATGTACGATCTAGCATAAGAAGAGGAAGAAATAAACATTTGTACACGATAAGGCCGTTTATTGATATATTTATTGAGGTGTAATATAAATCATACTGCACATACGTACAACTTATGTTTACTACTGGTGAATGATGTGTAACATGGATATTACAAAGGGGAAGAAAAAGCGAAACGTTAATTCCACCCGTATACCTATATACGTATAATATTTATATACAGCTAATTATGGATTTAGGGCGGAGAGGGGGGGGGGGAGGGGAGGAAGAGNGGGGGGGGGGAGGGGAGGAAGAGTGATAATACAACATCCTGAGACATTAACGCGTACATTGTATAGGGAAGGTCCTTCGATAATGAGATTCGTTCAATCACTTCCGTCGTCAAACCCAATGACGATAATTTCGCGTTTTATTTTAATTCTTTAATCTTATAAAAACTAAATGTATGTAAATTTCAGAGTTTACTCTCTTTTCCCATAGACAAAAGAAATGTAAAAATCAAAGCTTATTTAACAATCAGTCTCGAAGAATCTCGGTTCTTTGTGTGGAAACGATAGCAATGCTTGAACGAGGCTCATCGAGAGCACGTTAAATTTGCCGATCCTTTTACTCCGACAGTTCTAAGCGCGTCTTCCTCCCTATAAGTCTTTTTATCGCTTCGTATAAATACCGTATATTTAAACGCACCGAGCGTTTAAGCTTAGGTATTGAATATATATAAATATAAGGCTTCATACATTTGCGCTATATTCAGTTTTCGAAGCCACAGACGCAAAACTGACTTGTACGTTCATCACTGATTATGTGACAATTGATGCAGAACTAACTTCCGTGTGATTTTGTGCACTGTGAAAACGAATAATATCAGTGATGAAACTTCCGCTATCTTATCATTACTAATGTTATAATCACCGCGGAAATATCATAATACCGGAGCCACACCGAGCCCCAACCACTGGTATACTACATCTATATTTAAAATACGCTCACAAAGAAAAATAAATAGAAATAAATATATGTTGGAATCATGTATGTAATCGGCGTGTGGCGAAACTCGGCAATCGATACAAAAAGGACTCATAATTCTCAACGCGAGCGCGCGCGCGCGCGACGAATAGACAGCTGAAAAATGTCATCAGACATTGCAAGTGATGCATAACGATTTTCTCAAATTGACATGGTTATTTCAAATAATCGGAAATTTTCGGGATCATGAGCGGGAGGGAGATTTGGACGATCGAGCGCGCCTAATTTGTCAGTAACGTCAATTAGGACCCGTCGAAATTATGAATCTGTATGATTTAGCGCGTACGCCGAATTCGCCGCTCGACTGAAGAACCATCAAAGGAAAGAGAATCAGTCGTGAGGTTGCCGAACTATTAACGAGATTCGATGCGAATCCCGCGGCTCGGCGCGCTCCTCGCGGTCACGTCGATTAAACCACTTCCATTCTAGCGTGGCCCATACCACTGTGAGGCACCAGGAAACCCCATCATATTACATGAAACTCGTGATACATGCGTAGCGAGATACATTTATATTTTTACATCGATCGGTAAAACAAGCTGTCAAAGATTCGGCTCTCGTCGATGAAAACTTTCTGAACAAAATCTATATATATATATATATATATATATATATATCGCCTCATCGTCTGTCACGAGTCTCATTTCGAACTGTAAGCTCTCAAGTTGGGAAGTTCCCGAAATCCCGCAGAGTCTAAGGGAGAATTCACACCTTGACAGAAAAACAGCAGCCAATCTCGCGCTGGTAGTCGACTTCTTCATCTATTGCTTACTACCAGCGCGAGTTCCGATTGGTTTTCTGTCAGGTGTAAATTCTCCCTGAGCCGACGGAATGCCGCGCGAGAATGGACGTGTTCATACGGCATTGCAATCTATGAAAAGGTTCCTGCAGTCTTCTCCCGTGCGGCCGCGTCGTCCCGCCTCGTACAGGGCTTCGAAGCCGACGCCACTCTGCCTTTGCAGAAGATAGCTCGTCGCATACCTACGCAAAAGTAGAAGATCGGCTGATAGATCAGCTAGTAATTTGGTCGCGCAAGAGCGCAAGTAGAATATTGTTCGTTTTTTATCCAACGAGATTCGATCACTCACGATCCGAGTTGGCAGAAAATCGATGACGGGCCTTGCGTATCAGCGATGCACTCGGCACTGGCTTCGCAAAGGGCTCTCTCGGCGCATCCGCGATGGCCCTCCACCTCGTCGTGGCCTACGTAGCTGAAGGACTTGACGGATCTCATGTAACCCTAGCGAGTCGAATTGCAATCGGATATATCTTTGTGTGGGCACATATATATATATATATATATATATATATATATATCGGCGATAGATTTACCTTGAGCATAGAGATGGACGCTATCGCAGCCTCGGAGACGGTGTCGCGTCTTCCCAGCGAGCGAGCAGTCAAAGAACGATGGGAGAACGACGTCTTCAGAGCGTCCAGCAAGTTGATGACTATGCTGATAAACTGCTTGATAACAGGTATAAGCGAAGATGTAAGATGCAAATATATCCGTCGAGAGGTAAGCTCTCTCGAGAAAAAATGGTACAATTAATCAATCACCACAAATTATATAACGAGATTATGATTACATTATAATACCAAAAAAGTTGATTAGTAACAACGGTCGTTGGAACGTAGCTAATTGGCGAAACTAGTTCTTCCAATGTACTCGAGAAAAGCAGGAGACAAAAGCGCACGCATTTCGCTCTCGAAGGCTGTAGCGAAAGTTCGGAAAGAGGAGATTTATCGTCGAATACGTTTATTCACTCGTTCGGTCTCGTACTAACCTCGGAAGCGTTTTTCGCCATTACAGCAATCTGTTGGGGATCTCTGCCCTGTCCTAGAAACGTGCCCAGCACCGCAGTCAAAATTTCCTAAACAACCGACACCAGCCATGTGCTCTAAGTCTAGAGTTCGATAAATTATTTACAGAGTGAACAAATGTGTGTAAATTGTATCCCTCTTTCCAGCCCCACCGCCTCGATTGTTCTTTCAAAGCGAGGTGAAACGTCGGCGAGTTTCCAGTCGCGAAGCGAGTAAATTACATTGTGTAGAAAACGTAAAGATCGTGTGACGCGTGAAAATAATGGCCCGCGACAATTATTTGACGCATTCTTCGCTAGTTATCATACAAGGTGGCTCGTGAGCAGCCGCGCGTGTTTTCTACTGATTTTATCGAGACTCTTTCAAAACGTCACAGACGAATTAAAGAATATTATACATACATATATACATATATATATATATACATATATACATACATGCATATATATTAAGTGCATAAACGGTGCCTTGTAACTCTGGTCCAAATTGAAATTTTTTCCTGGATAACACTAGATAATAGACGGCCTCGCCTAATCGTAGTTATCACGATGTCGTCCGAGCATCCTTTTTGCGTTCCCGATAAAATCGTTACTTCCCAAGAGCAACATTCATTCATTTCAATGACGAGCGTGAAAGACTATTTACCAGCAGTGATTCCACCGCACGCGCGGCGAACTTCTTTGGGCTGGAAAATTCTCCCGCGTGCGGCTTATTCTCCGGACCCTACGAATTATCACCTGTTCCGCTTCAGCATCACTCGGTGGATTTCCACTTTCAATCCGCCAAGGAGGTCACCATCCTCTCACCTCGAAGCGGGAAAGATGGTGTGTGGAGAATGATGGGGAAATTTTTTTTTTTTCGTAAATAAACAATCATGCTAAAAAGGCACCGAACTTATTTATACACCTAACATATGTGTGTATATATAATGTAAGAAAGGAAGAGATTTAAAAACCAACAGAGTTGAGAAGAGATGAATAACGCGCAAATTCGATCCTGAGAAAAACGGTCGCTTCGACAAAAGCGTTTCAAACAGCAGGGATTGATGCTCTCACGGATCGTCATGTTTCTTTCCAGTATCTATGTTACGAATAGCCAATAGCGAATCACTAGCCACCATGTGGATGCAATGAACAAAAAGTGAAAAGAGCAGATTTCATGTACAGCTCCGTCGTCCGAGGCAAGTGTGCCACGCTTATTTTCACCTACCTGCATGGGGCTGCTCTGATTGTCCACTTTGTCGATACCGTCCACCGGCTGTTGAGGCCCGCCCAACAACGCCGTGAGAACCCTGAGACCCACAGACAGCAGATTAGTCCACGGGCTTGTCGATGCGCCGTCGTCTATCTCGTTCTTGCTGGGACTGGTCGCACCTCCGGTCTGTCCCAACAACATCTGCATCAGCATTCCTAGCATGTTGGACCACGAGAAGCCGCTACTGCCACCCTCCTGCAAACACAGTCGACGAAAAGAGGTAAAATTGCCGACTCTCTGTAACAAGCCTGTAACATTTCTCACCTGAATCGAATTGGTGCTGATATCCTCGAGGTCGTCGATCGCCACCTTTTTCATCGCGTTCGGTTTTTCGGCAAACTTTCTCTCTTCCCTGACTTGTTGCTGATATTGTTGGGTGTGATATTGAGGGTGCTGCGGTAATGCCGCTGTTTGTCCCAGGACAAGCGCGATCAAGCACAACGACGCGTACTGAATGTGCCGCATTCTGCAGTGAGAAAACAAAGCGCCGCTATTATAGACACGAGAAAATATGCGACGATGATTCAGAGACTAAAGTGAATGAACGACGGGTCGGTCCTTTGGAGGTCGAAACAGATGGTCCAAAGTGGGCCGCGCTCTTCACCTTGATCGCAACGTTGGGAGAACGGTGCTGCTGAAAGTGTGCCACGGTGGTTAAGGTCGCCTCGACGGCGGATCGTTAGCCCACTTCCCGATCGGCGGTTTGTTGAACCCAACAGATACCGTTACTCCAAAAGGCGGTCACGACCTACTGTCGATCGACCGGTCGCTCGCGAGGGAAAAAAATCGATGAAGGAAAGCAACGGAGGAAAGCGGCCGATCGCGACTGACCTCCGCGTAACGAATAATCGACTTACACTAAGAGATAGTTTGCAAGTCTTAGGATAGATCTTATTTGAAAAATTCTTCAACGGACGCTCGTAAAACGGATATTAGTAAAGAAATTAATAATATCTCTCATCACCGTTTTGCGAAGAGACACACTAATGCTCGGATTAGTCCCCCTTATCGGTGCAATCGGGATGACGTAAGAAAAAATTAATAAGTAACTGCAGTCGAGGACGTGAAAGCAATGAGAGAGCCTCTCACCGGCGAGGCGCGCCTTTGGAAAACGGTACACATGGCGACGGAAAAATCAGGGAACGAGTTTCTAACTGTACACCCTTATACCTGTCAAATGCATTTTCTACCTGTGTGGCAGACTCGGAGAAGCCAGCAAGACATGTTCGAACATAGCGGAAGAGCGACATCGGAAAAAATTATTCGTACGAATAGCGATTAATAGTGAGTAAAGAAATGCTTAAAATCTTAGTAACGATCTCCATATTCGTGAGAGAAGAATAATTTCCAAGAATACTTAGTTTTGTTTTTTGTTGTTGTTGTTTTTTTTAACGTATACTGAAACAAGTGTGTGAGGGAAAAATTTGGCAAATAATTGTAGGGATATCGCGCGATAATCGATGGATTCGAAAATGTTCGCAGATTGACATATAAAACGCAGAAACTATGATGAACAGTCGTTTTAATGATTTACGGCAATTCACCGATATCGAAAATAATAAAAAAAACGATGTTACTCACTTGGTTACCTCCAAGGTGGACTTCCGTGACACTGACTCTCAGTTCTGAAGATGAAATTCCACGCGGGGTCTTCTATATAGCCTGCGAGCACACGTGGGGGTAAACCGTTCGGCCAATGACCACTCATCTTTGCTACCATTTTCAATGGAACTATCCAATCGCGCCGAGTCGATCGACAAGGATTTCGAAAGGTCTACTTATGGAGCATTTTTCGTAGTCACTTTGCGGCGAAGAACATTCGGAACTTTGCATACAGTTGATTATTCGCTTTGTCTCTCTTTCCGCGTTTTATTTTCCTCCCTGCAACAAAATATCATACATGTGTTCATTTCGCTAATAGCCGAGACTTTCCCAAAAAGATGTGCCAGCATAGCCAATTGTGTCAAAGCTCAGCGTTGCTGTCTGAAAAGCTTGCCACGACTTTTTCTCCGGGACACTTTACTCCAGTTCCGTTTTCGTTGCAAAGGCATAACTGTTTCAGTAGCGGGATGCTGCATCGGCTCTTCTTATTAGAAGGATCTCGCTAATCGCGGATCTCGCCGGCCGATCTTCCTTCGTCGGCATGGTTCGTGGCAAGTTCAGTGAACGTATTACGAGTCGCGGATGGATTCGAGCGTAACGGAATCGGCGGACGACCTTCGCGGATGCGCAGGAGGTTTCGGTTGCGCCGTTCAATAGAGAAATGCATTGCGCGCGCGAAATCCTTACTATTCGAACAATTCGCTTGTATTTCGACTTCTCGTTAGTTATTCGGGATGTCTGAATTACGAGAACGGCAATTGAGTGTTATTGCGCGACGACGATGGGAAAACGTGTCCTCTAGTCAGCCGTAACACGCTCTGTTTGCATACGATGGGCTACTCTCATTTAGAAGTTTCTAGGCTAAACATTACCTTCCGAAAGTTTCCGCATCACGCGACGGGTCGCGCAATTCATTCGGCAGGAATGTCGGTTCTTTGGACATTTCTTATATATTTCGCGCGTATAACTGTCTATTATATAATATCTGTCACGGAACCTACTTTTCAGACGAGAATTTTGTCATAAATAACACGCATGACGATGATCCAAAAGCGATTTCTCCAGATATAGGATCGATACGCTGTTTCGATCCAAGATCTTGAAAAGGTAACAATTTGTCAACCAAATTTTTTTCTTTATATTATACTATATTATGCTGTTGGATTAATCGTTGAAAGAGATCGGAAGGGTCGGTAACGATTTTCCGTGCCACGGCGAGGAACAGCAGGAGAGTAGCCACTACAGCTATTTGACACAGAAAACCTTAGCTATGTAGCGGGATCGGCACGTGGTGGATTTACATACGTAAACCGTGCATATGCAAGCGGCCGGGACGATCGCATGTCTCGATGTGCAATTAAAAAGTCATGAATGAGAAAAAGGACCTTTGCGAGGCGACCTTGCTCGGGAATGTGGAATTTGATTTCGTCAACTCCGGTGTACATCCATTTTGCTTCTTCCCTATCGTCTACAATTACATACATCACCGTTGATAAATATTTATTATTCGGAGCTATTCGAATATTATTTGAAATAATGAATTTTGTAAGAGACACCGAATTTTAACGAAAAAAGCACATCCCAATAAGGTAACTTTAAATTGTAAGACATTCCACGGAGATTAATAAACCTGTCATTAACCTTCCATGAAAATGTTCGCCTGAACTCGTTTCATCAACATCCCAGGAAACGCAACATCGTATTAATAATACAGGGACCTTCTAATTCCGATAAAAAATATCTCATACAGTCTTTAAAAAAAAAAAAACTTCTGGTCATTTCCTTTACATTGGAACTTAAAGAAAGACTTTCTGCAGCATGCACAGAGGAAAAAAATGTCCCTTCCGATCAGACGTATGTAAAGTTAGCACAGCACTTTTCGAATTTTCAGTTTTTCTTCATTGTACTGTGTTACATTTGTGCCGATCGATAATTTCAGCAACAGAGAAGAAAATTAAAAAAAATATACTGGCCTAGCAGTCTCGCCCAAACGAATCCAATTTTCGATAGTTATTTACTATAGGGGACCCGCCTCCAGTGACGCTGACATATATGTTAGAGATTATCCTCCTGAGTAACCTTCCGAAGGTTTTACCCGTCGCTCACTGTTCGTTAAAAAGATATCAAACCAAAAAGTTCACACGATCAACGGAAACGCGTCAACTCACATCGACAGGAATCTTTTTGCTATACCACCAATTAGAAAATTTTATATTAAATTGACCAATCACCGGATGCCGGAGCTCATCCGTTTATAAACAGAATTTCTAATTCTTTACGGCTTATTTCACTGTTGGCCGCGTCCAGCGGAACGTTGAGTTTGCAACTGTTGGAAGTCTCCTGTGCTGACATTGGATTATTCCTGTAGATCTAAAAGAATAATTCAATCTCAGCTCAAAAAACTTCCTACGATTGCAAATTAAACGTACTGCTGAATGTGGCCATCGAAGAATAAACCTAAGACAATCCTAAATATAAGGTCCGACTATCAATATTGGCCTATAAATGCCGGCCCTAAAATACAAAACAACAATCGTTTTTGTTTCTCATATTTCGGAACGCAAAAATTATGACGACACTAACCTATGAATTGACGTGATCATGCGCAGTAGGTGATCTGTCAAATTATATATACAAGGTGCAGACATAAAAATATGTAATATATTAGTTACACACGCTTTAATACAAGAAAATTAAGGCTGAAAAATTAGAATTTCATCGCATTTTTGCATGTTAAATACGCGTAAACCCGACAAATTCCAACAAACAATCCCAAGAACAGTTGGTTTTGCTATATAATAAAAGGCAAAATTATTATCAAGGAGGGGAAATAATAAAATACTTTTATTGCATCAATCCGATGGTATGATTGTTCTTGCTTTAAAGTACTTCTCAAACGATCCCGATAGCATCGTTATTGCGAAAGTTACAGCCTGTTGAATTTCGCCTATGTTTCATTATAGCGGAAAGTACGTCTTACCGGTCCTTGAGTCATACTACTTGAGAGATAGAAAGTACTTCCGGCTCCATCGTTTAGTCATATCACGACCTCAGTTTCGCGCTAAGTATAGTGGCGTCTCGTAGCGGAGATCCTGGAACTAAATTACAGAAATAACGGGTCTAATAATTCTGTAAAGCCCGTTATTTCTGTAATTTAGTTCCAGGATCTCCGCTACGAGACGCCACTATACTTAGCGCGAAACTGAGGTCGTGATATGACTAAACGATGGAGCCGGAAGTACTTTCTATCTCTCAAGTAGTATGACTCAAGGACCGGTAAGACGTACTATCCGTTAGAATAAAAAACATAGGCGAAATTCAACAAGATATAACTTCCGTAAAATAGAAGATCGTTTAAGAAGCACTTTAAAGCTTGACGTTTCTAGTTTTTAACCACATTAGCTGTATTAATGTTGTCGTTAATTTTCGTCAAGATATTTCGAGTTAAACGGTGACCGCTCAATTTCAAACTTCGTCTTTCAGTTGAGTTTTCAGAGCGAAAAATTATTTGATTCGAAAATGTGATACAGACGTTTTAAAGAGAAAACTTCTCACGTATATGTTAACGAATGTCTTACGCGGTGCTCATCGTTATTCACCAGAAGTCGCACTGGAGCGTTCGGAAATTGCCTTGACAGGCAGCTCCACTACTTTCCCATCGAAATCAGAAAAAACATGAGTGCGATTCTCGAACGCAATCCTGTAGTTTCGTGCCGAGAGGTTAATTTGTCCTCTTCGTGACAGGCAATATTTGGTCGTTGTAGCAAGAGAGTATAAAAGCTGTGCTGTGCAAACGAGCTGTGCAAATGGAGTGCTTGATTGGTATTCAGTGTAAAGATTTCGTGTTGGTTGCGGCGGATATGACAACCACACAATCCATCATAGTTATGAAAAGCGGTAAGATGCTTTTGTATATTCAGTTATCGCAATACGCGCCGATATCAGTTTAACGATCAACATTTATATCAATTGACGCAGCAATGTAACATCTCCTCCTTTTGGCATCGCATCACACACATGTGCTATACGTTTCTCTGCTTTAATTGTGAGAATAATTTTCGCCACATCATAATGCGTGCGAAATATTTTAGATGAGCACAAGATTCATAAGATTTCGGATAAACTTGTCATGGCGATATCTGGAGAATCGGGCGATACAACTCAGTTTTCCGAGTACATTGGAAAAAATATTCAACTGTACAAGATGAGAAATGGCTATGAGCTGTCTCCGAAAGCAGCTGCTTGCTTCACCAGAAGGAATCTGGCTGACTATCTCAGAAGTAGGACTCCGTACTTCGTCAATATGCTGCTGGCTGGATATGACGATGATGCAGGACCTGAATTATATTTTATCGATTATTTAGCATCCTGCGTGAAGGTTCCTTATGCTACTCATGGATATGGTGGGATGTTCTCTATGTCTATCCTAGATAGATACTATAAATATGGTAATATTCATTTGTCAGAGAAGAGAACGTGTGGAATGTTTCCAAAAAGAGGTACAAATTAAGATTACTATTTATTGCAGATTGTACCGAAGAAGAAGCATATGTGTTATTGAAGAAATGTGTTCAAGAAATTCATAAACGGTTGATTGTCAGTTTACCAAACTTCAAAGTTCAAAAGGTATCCAAGAACGGAATAAAGGATATGCAACCAATCACAGCTGAAAATTTGGCCGTTGAAAGTTCTGCTAAAGCATAAAGCGCGTTTAAATCTTTTCTGTATGTATGAAAAGTAACGTTTCTTCGAGGAGGATATAGGAATGAGGAAGATGTCTAAATATAATGACTTTTGTCACATAATTGACTAATCTTTCTTGTCCGAACTTTTTAAAAATGGGGCATTCCAATTTCAAATAATTCTCGCACTACCTATATATTTTTTCATATATATTAAATGCGCAATTATAGCTTAATGTTATTAAGTGAGTACGTAATCCGATATCTTGCAATTAACAAGACAAGTGAGTTGAAAAGCTTCTACAAGTTTTTATATTTTCATCCAAAGGGAGATTACAGAATTCTGTTTTGTAAATTCTCTCTTGGAATCAGATGGACGATTTTGAATTGTAACTCGAGTTGTAAGTACTAAACTTTTTATTTATCGAAGTTACAATGTCCTCCAAATTCCGCTCAGCCAACTTAAAAACAGAATACAATTTCATCTTGTGTGTGTGTGTGTGTGTACATATATATATATATATATATATATATATATATATATNTTTACTGATCATAATTATAAATATACATATCTGGAATTTCTTTCACAAATAAATAAATCGGCGTTTAAGCAGTCGCGTCGTGTAGTACAATTGTACACTTAATATTCTATTACGACAATTTTAAATAGAGTGTGTATGTAATTCCTATCCATATCAATTCGTCTATCACGTCGCAAAAAGAAGGAAAAATCACCTTTTCATCCTCTCTTTTTATATATTAATAATTCAGGATTATCATTCACAAATGGTGGTAAAATTATCGAAAATCCTGGAATACCAGTAAAAACTTATATATAAATGGAACATGAAATTATTGTTTAGAATACAAAACGCACCATAACGCACAGCAAAACTTAGGTGGATTTACATGTATCGGCAGCAATCTGTCGTATACATAATTGTATATGAAATATAAATCAACAATTGGAAGTATGTTCACATTCTACTCTACGCTATACGAAACGGTGAAACTCGGTATTATCGTTGTAGGTAACGGGGGGAACGATTTTTTTTTCCAGTATCTCATGTCGATCGCGATACCACACACGAGTGATAAAAATTCCGTATTGATCTTGTGCATGCAAATGAATCGCCAGATCATCGCGACATTTTTTCCTTTTCTTTTCCTCGTTGAGTTTTGACTGTTACAATCGAAACAATATCCGCGCAAACTATCGCGTAATATCAACATCGCGCAAAGTTCGCACAGGAAGCCAAAAGTATCGAATTACCTCGCAGTTCACGTGCATGCAAAGGCATAGTTATTGTATTTTACAATGCATGATTGTACATCTTGAGCGTGAACTATTTCTGTTTCCTTTTCCCGCGATGAATTTGGGAGATAATTACAGCACGATAATAATGTCGAGTTTCTCATCGCGTTATTAAATTAAAATTATTATTTATCCTTTTTCGCGTCTATTTGCGTCTGTTCCGACTGTTGCGCCGGCTGCGACGGATGATCCTCATACCTAAAAGCATCGATAAGCATGTGGATGAGAGAGAGAGAGAGAGAAATACATTAGGGATATATTAGAGATTGTTAGAGACTTACGAGAACAACGCTTTGAGATCCCCCTTCACTAACGCTAACAGCAAAGGTGTGCCTAAGCACGCCGGGACTAAATACAGCAGAGCGGGTTGTGCGTGGTTAAATAGGTGCATGATCATCATGGTCGCGAGTAATCCCATAAAGTATGCGAAAAACGTCGAATAGAAGTAGACATTCGTTTTCCTGCTCAGGCTATTATCAAATCGTAATAGCAATGCGATAAAGATACCAGGCAGTACAATGTCACCCAGTCCTAGCATTGCGAAATTACCAGCGCTTAGACCTTTCTCCAAGAGATCTTGTGGAAAGACGAGCTTAATGGGCACTTCGAAAGATTTTGCGACGGTCACCATTACGTCAGTACCAAACACCCAGAAAGCATCGTAGAAAAGAAGACCGCACAGCAAAATGCATCCGGTAACAACGTTATTGAGATGCAACAGTTCGACTCCGTTAATCGCAAACGCAATACCGAACAAGTTGTTGGCTATCCAGTGCTGTAAACGAAGGAAGGAAAAAGTGTCTGAAAGACAATGGTTGCGAGAAACTCTTACATTCGTCGTGTGCAAGCATAGCGATGTTTCATTCTTACCTTCTTCAAGAGGTACCAAGCTCCCACAAGCGAGCAGCATATGAGACAAACAATGTCGTGCAAATTAAACTTGTAGTTAATTATATGCTCCTTGTCATCCTTTCCTCTCGTGAATAAGATATGGTACTGTGTTTTTGGAATCGCAGCAGGTACCAACGACGATATTAACGGGCTGAAATGCATTCCAGCTTTGGAATGTAAAAGTACTTACTGTGAAAAGAATAAAACAATTACCTTGTAAGATGACACAGAGCTAGGATGCCGAGAAAGAAGAAATATGCAGCCAATATCAAGTTGACATATTCCTTTGCAAATACCTACGGAGAAATCAAGTGGAACAATATCACCTTCTCAGAATCGAACAGTCGGAACAGACTCGGTCAATTACCTTATACAATATGTACATGCCGACTAACGTAACGCTAGAGATGAAAGGGAACATAGCAGCCTCTCTGCGAGACATTGTGTCAGGCTGCTCGCCGCTGGCTTTATACTGTTGCTACAAAAAGCATGCGACGTTACAAATCAGCGGGCGACACTCCGCTTAATTGACAGTTTATATCGTCAATTTTAACGAAAGGAAATGATGTTTGAGGATATAGTCGTTTCCGAAAAAAACGATTGAATGTCGTAACAATGGGACGAAGAGAATTTTCCACGAACATGTGTATCCGATAACATATGTGAAGATGATGCATGACTAACCTGCTGCTCCTTATGATGTCTGACGGCGCGATAGCTGCCGAAAAAAATCGGCAGGATGGCCATAATAATGAGGCTGCCGTATGCGATGGCCATCCCCTCGGGAGTCGAAGGCACCCTCACGTTCGTCGCATTCTGGTACTCGGTAAGATTTTCGCTCGCCTGAGCCGCGATCTCGTTCACCGTGCTTGCCATCTTGAATATGTTGACACGACGCAAGGGACACGACTCCGCTGACGTTACGGCCCGTGACGAGGGAAAATCACGAAGAAGCGATGCCATCTGATTGGAAGGAGCTGACACGGAGGACCGTCACTAGATGGCGCAGCGCCACCACCGGAGTCAATCCTATCCAAGATAGATGGCGATATTGTACCAATCTGAAAGAACCCAAGTGGTGATGTCAGCTAAATTTTTACTAAACGGTTGTTACTTTGAAATAACAATTTACTACAATACTGTTAGACTGATTAACAACTAACTACGGTTCTTGAAGCACACGTGAAAATGGATAGAAATAGCAGTAGTATTTCCAACTGTTGAAAGTTTATTCTTTTAGGATTGGGTCAGTTGGAAGAATGTGAATTTACTTGAGTTAGAGGGTTCTGCAGCGTTCGCGAGTTGCGAACGATTAGATGGTTATCGATTAAACGGTTGATCAGGGCCTTATCGTAAAATTATGATGAAAGTAACTCCGAAGTTACTTCTCGATAATGGTTATTCAGATAACGAAATATCATTGTACTCCACATCATTAAAGATGGTCTACATTCACTACCGCTTCGTCCTGAGTTTTGTCGCGTTATAATACAAAATCGTCACGTTCAAACATAGAGGGACGGAAAAGTTATTTTATAAACTCTCTTACGACGTGTCTACCTATGAGGCGACAAACGAAAAGAGCAAAAGAGTATCGCCCCTACAGAAAAGATTTTCGTACTCGTCTTCCCGCGCACAACAATCAGCCATTTTATGCGAAGGAGCCCGTCTGGTGTGAAAATTGTAAGAAAACGACCGACGAATCGTAGTGTGAAAGCATCGATTTCCGAACGGCCGATTTCATAGATACGCGCACGTGCGCCGAGGTCGACGACCCGCGGAGTTATGCAGCGAGAAACGGACGGATGATAAAACGCTCGATGGTTTCTGGGTCGTCTCGAGGGAAAAAGATCGTCGCGGCTACATCGTTAGGCAACGTCGCCGCCGTGCCTGTCAGAGACGCGTTGCGTCACTGCGGATCGTCGTCCGGCCTGTACACGTGTACTTGCACGGCCCTTTCAGCTCGCACCCACGAGCCCTTTCTACTTTTAGAAAGTTACTCCAAGTGGGACGCGAGGGAAATGATATTACACGAGCTATGGATTACATCACGGCTCGATAACACAGAGTCTGTTCCACAATGCTCGTCGTAAAGCCGCAAAATAAGCGTCGTTCTACTACCTAACGTTATTTACAGATTATGATTTCGGTCGTTTAAAAAAGATAGTGCGCATATATGATCTTAAACGGTATTAGCAACGAAAGAAGTCGTGCACGATCGCACTCATCGTGAATAAATAAGGTCGCGCGTCGTTTACGACACGCAGGATTAAGAGCGAGCGTACTGTTAGGAGGCGTTCGATTAATCTGGAAAGAAACTTGTCACTTTGTTTGAAAAAGGAAGTAACGGCGCGTTGTTTCGTATTATGTCACAGCTGTTTTCACCCGTCCCGATAGCTTGAGTCGCGCGCGAATTTTATAATCCACAGTTTACGTCGTTCAAGTTTGTCGCTCAACATATGATCCGTATTTCTCTCTCTTTTTCCTAATTGCACGTTTATGTAAGCAACACGTTTTTTACACGTGTCCAAGGTATAGGAGAGAATGGGGTAATATCGGTCATCCCTACATCTCGGTACAAGTTGAATTCTACATGTTACCGTCTTCTATGAAGGAAGACCGCTGTTTTGGCATTTTTGTTTACAGCTATTACAAAAAGTTTATTTCGTCATTTTCTGACACAAGAGTCGCTGTTAAAACTCTCGATTTTCAGTGAAATGTATGTATTCTCTGATTTTATTCAGCGATTTTATAAACACCGGCTTCTTCACGTGCCTTTCCATTTGTATGGAATTCTTTGCACCAGTATCTGTATTATAATAAACACCCGTAGGTATTTATTGTATTTAGCAGTTTTCCGAGAGTTTAAATGATCGCCTTTACATTTTCGCTCAGCGTTTCGTTAACGACGTGAGTGCTCGGAAAGACATTTCCACGGAACACTAACGCTCACGTTGCAGACAAGTCGAGAAGAGCGTTTCGTTTTCCCGACCTGACACGTGATGTTACGTAATCGCGAGGAGAAACCGGAGAAAGCTAACCCTACGTCTAGTGAAGACGCGGCCTTGACGAGTAATGCACCGTGCGATGCAGCCAATGGCACACATTGTTACACGTGGTCGCTGATGGGTCAACGACCCTTTACGGAGACCCTTTTTTTTCTACTTTCTACATGCGTATCGCCGAATCGGCCTCTTCGAGTCGACCCGCGCGCTAATTGAAGTTCCGGGCAGCGAGCTCACCTGGTTTTACCTCGTGAAACTCTTTCTTCACTTGTGACACACAAATCTATGATGCATTAACGTTCATCTACGTAATGACATATTCGTAATGGTAGTACATGCTTCTTTTATTATCAAATGCTAACTGTGTGTGGGTAGGAGCGATCTCCGTTCTAAATTATATCGATCAAATTATCTCACCGGCGCGCGCGTCCCTCCTCTCACACACTTTTCTCTCCCCTCGATCGGTACCTTCACTTTTTCGAGTTAGTAGCCACGAATATTCTTATATCGATATCAACGAGGGCAATGAGCAAAATTGTTCCCTCCAAAATCGCAATCTTATCCATTCAGAAACTGGTCTTTGTTGATTATCAACAACGTCAATGAATCATCGCCACGAGCGAAACCGCGAGAGAGATCCGAAAAAGGTCCATCGAAAAAGTCTCTCTCTCGCTCGCTCGCTCGCTCACTCGCTCGTTCGTTCGCTTGCCATTTCGGCATGATCGCGTTTCTAAGGTCGCCGTCTCTCTCGCTTGCTGACATAGCTTAAAACAAGTCGCGTTGAGATTGGTCAAGGTACGACATCGCTTTAGACCCGCTCTTTCGTTCCCCCCCCCCCCCCCCCCCCCCCCCTTTTCCCCCCCCCCCC